CCCGGCGGCGGGGCGGGCGGCGCCTGAGGGGCTGCCGGCGGCGCGTATTTTAGCGTTGGCCTTACGGCCGGGGAGAATGCCGTGAGTTTCCTTCCCGTGGTGGGTTTCCTCGTTTCTCCCGGAGAAGCCTTATTTCCAGGGGGGAGGCTTGCTTCGGTGAAAAATACGGCACCCCTCGCGGAGAGCAGCATCGGGAATTAGAGCTGGGCGAACGTTTGCTCTGGCGGGTGGGTTGGCTGCTGGGGGGAAGGGGTCGGGCTGTGGCGCCCGGGCGAGCCCTTCCGCAGCCGGCTCTGCCCTCAGGGAGGACCCCGCCGCCGCTGCGCCCCGGGGCGCTCGGCTCGGCTCGGCTCGGCTCACCTGCAGCGCCTGCAACTCCAGCAACAGTTCCCGGCGCCGCCTCCCTGCAGCGGGGAGAGCGAGGGTCGGTGGAGGGGGGTGAGGGACGGCGTGCTCTCCCGGGTGAAGGAGGCCCCGTCTAGCCCGGAGCTGGACTACCCCCGCCGTGCGGGGTCTGCCGTGGCTGGGGGCCCGGCGCTGTGTGCCCGTGGGCTGGAGGCGCCCTCCCAGCTCCGAACTGACTCTGCGAAATGGCCAGCGGCTGTAAGGCTTATCGCCAGAGAGCTGCAAAAGCTGGAGCTTGCCCGTGCCCAGTTTGCTGCCTTAGCGTGATCAGACAGCGGGGCTGTGGAGCGCGTACCGCAGTCGTGTGGGGACAGAGCTTTCCCAGAGTTCAGGAGACTCGGGGGAGACCAGGAGCCATCTTTATAATAAGGTAGACCTTTTAGCAGTGACCTAGGAATTTCCATCTCATCAGTGCCCTGCGGGAACCGCTGCGTGATTGCTTTTTCCAGGGCTTTGTCAGCCCAGTTTTACATGATGAAATTTGGCCTTGTTCTGTCCTTCTAAAGCTAGGATTGGTGGTTCCTGAACAAACCCTGCTTCTGAGAGTGGTTCTGCACTAAAAACATGCATGGAGCTTTCATTCTTCCTTTCCTAGGGTTGAGACCATTAAAAATCTTTGTTCTGCAAGGTGCTAGATTTAGCTCATAACATGAAAAACTGGTTGGCACAGGTCTTCGTTCCACAGCCATGTGACCTTGTCAGCGTTTGAGTGCTGGCGGTAGTTTTTCCTACTATCTGTGTATTCTAAAGACTGAAATTTATTTCACCTTCTCTCTGTATATTCTGTTTGTTGTTAGAAAATGAAGAGTCAGCCCAAAAGGCAGAGCCTGCAGGTCAGCCGGTTGATTCGTTGGAGTCCAGTACTTCACAGAGCAGGTAGGAAAATCTTTTTGTGTATTGTGGCCCACATGCATGACAGTCTTTCACCCCTGTGACCTCTGGTATGGCAGCTGATTCTGTGCAGGTGAAGACAAGGGACTGGAGACTGAATTGTCTGCTTTGGGACAGTATATACTGGAATCAGTGTAAGAGGGACTGTTCTTACAGGCTTAAGCTTATTTTAAAGCTTATGAAATGATGGAGTGTAGTTCATGGCTCAGCTATTCAAATCACAGAATCATTCAGCTTGGAAGGAACCCTGCAAGGTATTGCAGGCCATTGTAAGAGCTAATAAACTCTCAGCAGGAAATTTTCTCTATCCTGTCTGGAGGATACTTTAACAATTAAGCATTCCCACTGTCCATAATTCTGGTGGAGGCTGAGCAAGAAAACACCTTTTACTGTTTTCTTGACAATGTTTTGGCTTTTTCTCCACCCTTTGTGTTCTGTGTCACTCCTTCGTTAATGCTGCTGATCAACCCTGTTATCAGATGTTTGGCTTATTATCTGTTGGGCATGTGGTGCTTGTGGCCAAGTCATTGCATTGGTTACAAGCGCTAATACCGTATGCGGTGGAGTTTCATTTGCCATCATACATTTGTTACACAGAATACAATTTCAGAAACGTGTGAGTTAATTACATCAGACAGTAGATAAACCACAACCTCACTGAAAAACAGGGGGGAAAAAAAAAATCCAGCAAAAAAACCCCAACAAACCACCCTACTTACTAAAACAGCAGTTTGATGCCATCTTGGCTTGGTGCTAATGACATCTATACCAGCCTTCTCGACTCCAAACATGTGTTCTTCCATCTCTTTATTATGTCCTCCAGTTTTCTTTGAAGAGATTAATATAGACTGTGAGAAAAATGGCCAAAGTAGATGCTGGATACTTGTGGATGTTACCTGATAAATTTGTCTTAAATTAGATCCCCTTTGAAAGGGATGGGTGTGGTCCAAAAGGGTTGTGTGAGGAGGAATCAGCTGAACTCTGTCTTTGTAAATCTGCTTCTAAAGCTTGTGTAGCTCTTCCTAATTTTTCAGAGAGACTCTTGGGCTTCAGTGGTGTCTGGAGGAAAAAGTTGCCAAGCTGTTAGCTCCTATGTTGATGGAGAGCCTTTTGAGGAGATGTACACCTATGGTAGCAAGTAACCAAATAGCCCTTCTAGGTGTGATCATGCAACTGCTAAGCTAAAAAGCAAATGGGCTGGAAAACGATGGTGTAGAAGTCCAAATTTGTCCTTGGCTGCTAAAGAAATTGTTATGGATCACTATGAGAGTCCTTCCTTTAAAAAATTGTTCTCTCCAAGTGTCCCTTCTTTTCTTATATTCTCCATCTGCTGCTATTTTGTGTATTCTGGTATTCAGCTCATTTGAGTTGTTCTTACAGACCTTCTGGTTTATCATGCCATTTCTAGGAAAGGAAATTGCACTGTTGCAAGAATTTAAGTAAGAAATGGCTTTATTTCTGGATAAGATCTGTACCCCCATAGGAATAAAGATTTGGAAACAAAAGCCACTTTTGCCCTGTTCTAGTCTTCTCTATGGATGCAGCAAGGCATGTGTCTGAGTTGAGCTGTGAATGGGGTTTGTTTTAAATTATTTTTTTAAACTATTCCACACTATGCTGATAGTCTGCTCCCTTGCTAATGAGAATATTTCTCTTTACTGAAAGGAGACATTTGAGGAAATGTACATATTTTCCATTACTGCTGTGTTCTCATGTTTCTGATCCTTTAGACCAATGCAGCTGACATTGGTTTTATAGTTCTGTGAAAAGTCTTTGCTTTTCAAAAGGGCAACTGTTTCTATTCTTATTAAAGACTAGGTTGCTTCTCATGGAAGTTTCACATAGTATCTGAGAGTATGACAGAGGAGACTCTTCCAGCATCCATCTGAGTTCATTTGGGATAACTCTTTCCAGCTATAGACAATATGCAGCATTTTTTTAATATAATTTAGAAGAAAACCCTCAACAGAGAATGAATGCCAAAGATGTGTTTCCTTTCTTGCACATTCTTTTCCTGCTACGTACCTTTCTTTTTGTTCTAACATTTCCATCTCCTCTTGTCACAGTGCAGTACTTGGACCTCTTTGCTGTTATTGTGCTGCCGTTGCATGTGTTATGGCTTGCTTGTCTGTGCAGCGTGTTTGAATATGGCAGAAGGACACCTGGGTGCTCCCTGTATCTCCTGGGATTACTGATAGGAAAGGCAAAACGGGCCACTTAAATAGAGGGCATTTTCAGGATGGCTGTCAAAACTGTTCTGAATCCTTTCACTGATCCAGTTGACCTCTGATGGAATATGCAGATGTCATGTAGCAGCTGGCATAAAAGAACTTGTCCTTTCTTGAGCAGAAAAGTTGCTACTGATCTCTGCACTTAGTACAGTGTTGGTGAGCTAGCATGCTGTGGGGTGAGTGCAGTGAATACGGAGTATCTCACTGAAGTTGCTCCCTCTGACTTATATGGAAGATAGTCACATGAAGATGAGGGTAGGACTGGGGTGCAAAAGGCTCTTTGTGCAGCTGGCAGGTGCTGACCACAGAAGCTTGTTCCCTTCAGTCCATTTGAATTCAAATTCCAGAGCAGAGTGATTCCTCTGCTGGCTGTAGCCTGGGTGGAAGTGCTGAACTGTAGTGCTCCATTCCTCTAAAAGGTCACAGATTGGGTCGCTTGTGAGTGTGGGCACAACAGAGGATTCAAAGGAAGAAGCTGGCACTTTGGAGGACCAGGAAGTGGCTGAATTGGAAGAGAAGCTGCCTGACCAAATCCCGTCCCTCAAAGAGGTAGGTGGGTGTTTCTTATGCCTGAAAGCAAGGAGAGAGGTGCAGCAATAGTTCTTCCATCCTACTGCTGTGCTTATAGCTATGGGACTGAGGCTTTAAGGGTTAAGACAAATGTAGTATTACCATAGATTCAGTTACTACGTTAGCGGGAGGTAAATGTTATCAGTCTGATTTGCAAAATCCCTCTTATGTCTTCGGCTAGTCCTCGCTTCCTTGCAGTTTTTGGCTTGCTCAGACTTCAAGGTTATTCTCACCTTCTGCCTCTTGTTTGGGGCTTCTGGGAATTCCCTTCTTGCAGATTTATGGACGAGGGAACTGAAAGTGACTCTACTGTCTTTTGTTTCTTTTGGTGAGCAGCCAATTGGTTTGCATTACAGATACAGTTGGGAAAACCTGTGCAAGTGGCACCCAGCTCAGGAGCTGTGAATTTGCATATATGAGGAGAGGAGACTGGCCCTAGTGAAACAGATGGACTTTTAACTAGGATGCAGCAACTGACAGTTTGATTGTGGCTGTAGTCTAGATGCACACAGAGCTGAAAGGCTCTCCCTAGAGAGATTGTGTCTTGGGAATTCTTTCCAAGAGTAGTCAGCTAAATCTGTAAGGCTGTTGCTTTATTAAGAGGTGACAACTCTGAGGCAGATGCAAAGATGTGCCTGCCCAGGGACTCCTGGGAAGGCCAAGGGGTGTGTAATTTGTGAGACTAAGGCAGCATTTGACTTCAAAGTTCATGACTTTGGTGCTGTGGGGGAGATAATGCAGAGAGGTGTCTTGGAGCCAGCCAGTTCTTTTTAACTAATAGAAGCTTCTGCAGGGTCTGGCTTGGCTTCAGAAAGATGTGTGAATTACTAATGAGTTGTTTTAAATCCAGCTGGGAACTTTCTTACCAGGATGGTCTTTGTGACAATGTTTCTTATGTGCCTTGTGCAGGAAGCTGTTGTTCGGATAACCAACTACCACGTACCTCAAGGAGCAGGGGATATAGTCATGATTCAGTCAGATCACACTGGTGCTGTGGATATCCTTTCAGCAGAGCTGGAGACTGCAGACCTCCTCGGGGAGCAGAGGAAAGGTGAGTCCTGAAAGGAAACCACTTGTTGGAGCCACTTTTTAAGTACCTGCCCTGGCTAGAGAAGAGCAGAGGCTGTCCTGGAGGCACTGCTAATTCCTGCTGGAAACTGGCTAGTGCGTGGGAAAACTTCACATCCAAGGCTTCTGGGAGCAGGCTCCAGAATGCAAAAGCCTTATCAGAAATAGCTTTACGGTTTTCAGATAACAGCTTGTCAGTAGTGAAAAGTCAGGTGAGCCCATGATCTTTTTCCCTTGTCTCAGCTCAGCCTCCCCCTCTGGCTCCACCCACCATGTGGACCACTGAGAAGACAAAGGAATTCAAAGCCAAGATGGGAAAGGAGAAGAATTGCCAGATGGTGGTGAAACGAGGCGAGGTGGTGACAGTCCGCGTGCCAACCCATCCTGATGGGAAATGCATTTGCTGGGAGTTTGCTACAGATGACTACGACATTGGGTTTGGAGTCTATTTTGACTGGACCACAGTTACTAGCACTGCCATTACTGTTCAGGTCAGCGAATCCAGTGATGAGGAGGATGAAGAGGAGGAGGAGGAAATCGAAGGTTAGCGCAAAGCTCATAAGGGTTAATTTGTGGCGCTTGTTGCCATGCTGCTGAGAGTGTCTGTCATATGCTGTAATTTCCATCTATTTTGTTTACTCAGCCCACTTGTTATCTCTGCAGCCTTTTGGGTTCTTGGTTAGGCTGTGACGAGAAAGCATTTAGTCCTTCCTGGTTCAGCGTGTATGTCAAAGGCTGTCCTTCTCCAAGAGCATTCTTAAATTGAACACATTGAAAAATAAAATCAGAATTCACTTGTTCAACTTCTAGGTGATAAAAAGATTAGGGTCTCAAATTTTAACTTGACTGGGTTTTTTTTAGCCTCTCAGACTGAAAAATTTCTGGTGGTGAGTAGGAGCAAAAAGGTTTTGTTTCTGGGTTTTGGTATTGTTTTTTTTTTTTTGCTGGGTTTTTTCCCCACAGTACATCAGTAGCTCCTGCTGACTGCATTCGAGAGGATTGCTACCTGTGTCTTTGTACTTGTGAAACACACAGTGATGTTGCCTGTTCTATGACTTCAGTGTATATGTGACCAGTGTAGCTGGGAGGTTGGTGTCTGAAATCAATTTTGCAGGCTCTCCAAAGAGGGGTAGGTTCCTGTATGAGGAATCCTCTTGGAGAATTGAATTGAGAACGTAAACAGAGCGAGGTTTTAGGTAAGAGCTTTCCCGTCTTTCTTTTGCTTCAAGTCTGTATCACTGGACCACTGTTGTGTGTATAAAAGCAGTGAGGTGTCTAAAAGGTAAGTCCAGGGAGAGGAGACCAGGCTGGCAGGCAAGTAGATACTGTCCATCAGTATTCCCAAGAGAACTGGTTCTCGGCACGTCCTTTGTCATGATAAGGAAAGCTGGACTTTGTGGGTATGATTTGCAGAAAGGTCAGAGCAGATGCTATGGGTAATGCTATCATAGTTAGCCTTCCATATATCTGCATGCCTCTGCTGCATTCTGGTCTTGTTGATCTTTTTCTGGACTACCTAGTGGCTTGACTGGCTCTGGCCTACTTGTCTCCTCTCTCCTATTCAGGACTTGCCCCTGTTGGTGATGTGGAAAGGGGCGCCAAAAGCTACCTGCGGAACCGCTACGGAGAGATCATGCCGGTATATCGGAGGAACAGCCATCGTGAGGTGCAGGCAGGCAGCCATGAGTACCCAGGCGAAGGCATCTACCTGCTGAAATTTGATAACTCATACTCTCTCCTCCGCAATAAGACTCTGTTCTTTCATGTTTATTACACTAGCTGAAGAAATGGGAAGGGGCAGGGATGGCAGGCAGGCAATGATGAATGTAGCAGGCTGCCACCCAGCCCTGGTACCGCCTGATGGGCACTGCTGCGTGACAGAACCAAGGCACAATTCTGCCGGCTCCTCTTCAGACACTAACTGGTTTCTCCCCACACCCTCCTTCACTGCTGTCCCAGTGCAGAAAGGTAGTTCCACAGGCAGCTGCTATTTCTGTAAAACTTCAGGGTGTCTGCTCTGTGCAGGCATCGGGCTGGGCCTTCATGTCACAGCTGGTAAATGCCCAGAGGCCAGGTTCAGATGGTCGTGGTTTTGATCTGTTGCGCTGGTATGAAATGAAGTGAAAATATTCTTGGTCTGTTACTATTCTGTGAATAACTTCCAAGTCTCCTGCTGCATCTGCATCACTAGAGGGCAGCTCTTGGCTGCAGTGAGCCAAAAGCACAGCTGGCTTGTCACCTAGCCACTGATAATCTCATCACCTACCACCACTACATGTCACCAGCAGCCAATGCTTCCTTCACTTGTGTGGGTGGGGGTGCAGCTGGCCAGCGGCAGCCCATGCTGCAGTGGCATGGCAGTCATGGCATGTGTTTGAACACGGGGTGGGGGGAGGGTGTGCACCTAAAAGTGCGTAAGAAAGTTTTCCTGCAGATTAAGAATTGGATGTTATACCTGTTCATTGTAGGGATATGTAGATGATTAAAACTTCAGTGGCCACCAAAAGTTTTTTCTGTAATCCAGATATGAAGCAGAAGAAATTACTTACTGCTGTGCTGAACAAATACAAAAAGGTTGGAGTACAACCATTAAATATATAGGAAATGTTTCTTAGAAGCAGCATGTTGGTTCACTGGTATTGCTGCCAGCTAGATAATACCATATGTAGCAAGGAAAAGGCTCCCCAGAGAAGTGTAGCATGTCAGCTGCTATTGCTGTTGCAAAGGTATTGTTAGAAAAGAACATCTCTGCTCAGAAACTTGAAAGGTGTGGGATTTAACCAATCCTTTCTGTGAACCAGAATCAACAGGGCTGTTGCTAACCCTGACCACATGGTAAAGGATGAAGTTCCTTGGCATGTTTTGGTGGCTAGTGATGGCATTAGCGATCACCTTCTGCTCAAGTACTGGCAGAGTTGAACAAGGATTAAGTTAATCCTTCAGAGATGAATTTTAAATCATGTTTATCTGTAACTTGTTTATTTTAATACTTTTAACTTGAAATCATTCTCTTTTCTAAGAATACTGCTGTATTTACATTTTGATACCTCTTTGCAGAGACACAAAATGGCTGTTTGCATGGTGATTTTAGTAGAGTTCTGAGTTTTATTTTTAAATCCTCCAGGTAACGCACCTCTACTTGGTCCATTCCTTCTATTGAGAGGGGATGATGGACGAAATGATTTTGGGGTAGTTAAAGCCAAAGATTTCACTCTTATAGGAGGGCCGCATATTTCCTATTAAGGCTATATTGTAATGCTGTGCAATTTGCTCCATATTCAAGCTCTCCTTTTAACTATCTCTGCTTACTTATTCACTGCCCCAGAGCACATAGTAGGTCAAAAAGGTGAGAGAGTGAGCAGTCAGTCTACAGCAGAGCAGCCCAAGCTGGGAGTAGGAGGAGTGGAAATGCAAAGAACACTGGTTGGAGCACAGTGGCTTTCTGGGTGAGCAGGTAGGCAGCAGAGTTGTTGCTGCTTTGGGCCCTGAGATGGGGAGAAAACAGCCACCATTCTCAAAAGAGAGAGAGCGAGCATGCACCTGGGCAGCAGGGGAACTGTAATGCTGCCTTATTCAAGCAGGGGCAACCACAGGACAACCTTGCAGGGAGACAGAATGGTAGGGCCTGGTATCTGTCAGAGTAAGATGCTCTTTCATTTAGCAGCTTGGAGAGAACTACTCCTTCCTTTAGCCTCTCTTGGAGGAGATGAAGGACTATCGTGTGGCCTTTGTACAGCACTTGAATCATCCCTGAGCAACTTGGGTAAGGTGTGCTCCTTATTTTTTTTCATCCTTTGTCTATCAAGTTCCTAGACACTAAACAGAAGAAGGTAGAAAAGACCCTTCAGTCTGACCACAATGTCAGCACTGCCCCATGCAATGACTGCCTTTGGTCCTTTGCTGTGAGATCCGGAGAACCCTGTGTGCACTTGCTGGTTAATGTATGATGCACTGTCTGGCACCCACTCCACTTCCTAATTAGGATTTATTTATGACGAAGGGAACTCTGACCTGTACATATATTAGATATTCCACAATTGTTGATCCTCAGTTGCACAGCTTATTGCAGGCTAGTGGGTTATCTCCACTAAAAAACCTGTTTCCCTTATAGGGTGGCCTCCCTGCCTGTTGCTAACTCGTAGTTACTTCCCCTTCTGACTGTTGCTTATATTAAGGTTTGAAATACATTTTGTCATGTTGTAAGAAGTTAATAAGGCCTGCCTCACAACCAATTTTGATCACTCACTGACACGTAAATAGTATGTGCCAGTTTTCAAGCCATTAGTTAGTGGCTTTAGTTAAGAAAAGTTGCACTGTAGATGGTAATCCTATTGCTCGGTTCTAGCTTTCTGAAGTGTTGACCAACCTTTAATAAGGCTCTGGTCACTTGTTTGGAACTGTGACCATGTCCTAGTCTCGTTGACCTAAGCCCAACAGCAGCATTGAATATGGTATGTCACCCCAATCAGCATGGTGCCCGATCTGCAAATGCACTGTGCTCATAGATAGGCCTGCTGCAGTGGAACTGGAAGTGTTTGGTGTGTGTTATTTCACTGCTTCCCAGAAGTATCTGGTATCTCTTAGGAACACAAGATAGTTTTAGGCACAGAATATTTCATCTGCAGGAAACAGGAGCTTCCCAATTGGACAGGATAATTCCTCTTTTTGTTTATTTTTTTAATTTCCACATTATATGAGTGTGTTGTTTCTCAGGTATTCAGATAGCATTCATTATCCAAGTGACAACTTCTCTTTGGAAGCATATATAGTCTTTATTCTTTTTCTGATAAATCCAATAGCTTGGCTGTGTGGCTAGTGATTAACAGCAGCCATTCCCGTTCAAAGAATTAATCTTACTTCTCATGCATCTTTTTTTTTCAGTTTGGTGTATCCCCTGGATTTGTATCCAGTCCTGCTGTCTGGCTGAGGCAGTGATGGAAACCCTTATTATTTTAATTGGAGACCTTTGGAACTAGACCTTGGGTCTAGAAAGAAAAATGAATTAAAAAGGCAGTTGCACTTCAGAGAGGGAAATTAATCCTTGAGAAAGGAAAAATCCTTTGTTTTTGTGGAAGGAAGACCTTGGATAAGTTCTTAAAATGTGTTTCTTCTCCCTGTAAATTGTGTCTAGAAATTCAAAAAGCTAAATCAAGGGAGAAGCTTCTTTTGCATTTTGGGTTTGCTTTTATGAAGGCACAAAATTGTTTTCTGTTTTGTCCTGAATATAATTTAGATTTAGAAATAAGATTTACATGTTCAGCCAGAGATATGACAGTCCTGTAGTGCAGGACTTGTATAAAAATTAGCTTGTATAAAATTGTTTATAAAAATGGTAACAATCTGTTGAGCTTTTTTTAATGTCAAAGAAGGTCATAAGCACTCTGTTTTCTCTTTTCTTCCCTTTAGGTGTAATGTAGCAGCAGGAGTTTAAAATGTATGTGTTTTACTGAGGACAGAGAGTTAAAATTGCTTAAATCAGGGACCACTTGTACTGATTTAATTTACTTACAAACTCTGTGGAGGCCTGTAATATCGTTTCTTGTGAAAGGTTATTGGTGTCAGACATGGGTGAGTTGCAAATTAATGCTTGGGACCCATTTAACAGTTACGTAGATTATTGGTAATGAGCTGTTTACCTGAACAGGTAAGATGAAAATGCGTAAGAGCTTAGTTGTCTGACTTCAGGTGCTAAGAAGAAAGTCAAGTTACTATGCAACTGAGTCTAAATGACAGCCACACACCTTTCTTTTTGGCTCTACCCTGTGCACTTGTCTTATTGTAACTGTGTGTGCATGTAACCTTCATCTATGGCCTGCAGTGGGCCAGTTATCGTGGTGCTGGACCTGGGGAGGTGGGTTAGAAGTGAACCTCGTCACATGTAGTTGCTGAAAGACTTATTCTTGTGGGGAATTAGGGTAGAGAATGAATCTTTAAATGAGTTTACTTTTATCCCCACTACTTATATCCTTCCTTCTTGTCTCACTACCCCTACTAAAGCCACTCTACAGCGGATTTATCACAAGGTGCCTTAGAAAGAAGGAGCATGTCTGGAATAAGAGCCATAGATGTCATTAATCCAAGGGATTTCTTCTCCTTGTTTCTCTGCCCGTTTGGGTAGAGGGGAGGCACTTCCTAAGGTCAGGCAAGGAGACTCCCTACAGGGTGATCCTGGAGATTTAAGCTGTTCACTAGACCGCCTTGTTGCTGTAAGACGAGTAGTAGAACGGTGTTTGAGTTTCCTGGCGCCATAAGATCTTTGCCTTTTAAAATCATATGCTGCTGTCAGATACCAAGGAAGACCAGAGGACTACTCCTTTCGATATGCTGATGCTAAACCTGAGGACCAGAGGAATGCTAGATAGAAGAGCATTCCTTGTGGCCATTCATCATTTTCTCTAAAAAGAGTGTCTGAATCCAGCGTTGTGAGTGGTGTGTGCTTATATGTATTGAGGCTGGATAAGAGACCAAAGCAACAACATTTTTTTTCATGTACGAGTGTGAAAGAAAAGACTTTCTCTTTTTTTCCTATCTGGGAAAATATTGGATGTGACAATGACATGTAGATGTAGCAGAACATCTCAATTGGTACAATTGGTAGAATGAAAAACTAGGAACTGATAAGTGTTAAATACATTGGCTAATTAGACCGTTAAAGAAGCCAGGAGTTTAGCAGGAGTCAAAGTGCTAAGTAATTTATCTAAATAAGTTGATTTGCAGTAAATACCAACGAAATAAAGTTTTAGAAGGTACATAAAACTGCAGAGTTCAAATACATCTTGCTAGAAGGAGAATTTTCTGTGGGGTTATTCCATGTTTGCCTCCAAAGAGTCTCTGGCAACTTATTCTGAAACACTGGTGCTGTTGCAGCTGAAGACACAACATCAGGCTGGGTGGATGGTGGCTCTGACTCCCCTTGGCTGTTCTGCATTCCGTTCTGGTTTTACATGTTACTTTCTCAGAAGCTCCATCACAAAAAATTTACCCTTTATCAGGCAGGGAGAGAGGAGGAATTTTGTGATCCATCAGTGAGGGTTATCTGGTTTATGCCCATCTGGACTGGTGAGTCAAGTCCCTTGGGCAAGAAGGTGGATGTCAACCATTGAGCTCAGAGCTAAGGCGGCTTTGCCAAGTAATGACCTTGAAGTTTAGGAGCTGCATTTGGAAATTATAAATAGCAGGAGGTGGTCTCCCTGTAAGCTCCAGGATGCCCTTGTGACTATCTGCTTTCCTCGGAGGGAGGCAGTCTGCTCTCAACTCACTGCTCCAAGCTGCTAGCATAGTCTTTCAATGGGGAGCATCTTGTAGCTGGTCATACCTTTTCCAGACCTATATTCTTGTGAACTGTGATGGTTGTCTGTCAGTCCTCATGTATGTGATGTGAATATTTTTGATGTCCTGTGATTTCAAAATTGACTTCTCAGCGCCAACTGTTTGATTTTCATGTCCTCCCAAGATATGAGTTTTAAATGGAGGAGAGGATATTTTAACAAAATGTGGCACTGAACCTCTTGCTGAAGGGCACATATGAAGATTGTATTTATAGCGTTCTTGCATTCCTTCTATGCTTGGTTTGTACTGTTTATATTTGATGTGTTGTGGCTGATTTGTAATAGTATATTGGAACTTATTCTCCTTAAATAAACTTTTCACTATGCAACCAAGAACTTTGTCTTCTCTTTAGAGCAAGTGAGTGTCTTGATATGAAAAACTGAACTTTAGACTTTCCAACAAAACAAGAATACAATTAAACTTAGTTTTATGAGCAAAGAAGAGGCAAATACTCAATGTACTTTGCACTGTACTGGACATTCTGGTTGCAAATGGTTAGGAAAATGCTCTGTTGTCAGCTGGTGATGATGCTTCCAGCCAGGAAATTTTCTGTCTGTTAAAATGACTTTCTGGGATTCACTGCAGTGCTTGAGATTACACTGAATGCCTGAAGAATTGGAGAAGAACAAGCAAGTAGCCAAGCTCATACTGTGGACATGGGTGGAGTTTGAATGCTTCATACTGGTACTTTTCACCTCCATTTGCAGAGATTCCCCAGAGCTAGCTATTCTGTACTTCAGCTTTCAGTCTGAAGGACTAAAAACATCCCTTCAGTTACCAGATACTGATTAAGTTATCTAGAGAAAAGTGTTTGCTCTTTGTATCTCCTCATAGCTGCTTGCCTATCAACTTTATCTAACTATGAAAACTATATTTACATGGCCTGAAGAAAGCACCTACTGGTCAAAATGGGAATGATAGCTGCAGCCTGAGCCATACTTCCTCACTTGTCTCGTTATGAAGCTCAGTAGGAAAAGTGCTGCAGAAGTTCAGTCGTCTCTGTTCTAGTCCTGTGTTTCCTTGGAGCAGTTCTATAAAATCATTCATGGGCAGGAGCAATCATAAAGCAAGTTGATCAAAGGGATAGATGACTGCCAAGTTAAAGATGTTTCATCTCGCTTTAGGACCACCAAAGAGAAACAGTGCTACA